CAGCAGGTGGCGTGGTGGTTAAGGCGCTGGACACTCCCACAGGGCTGACCATGGTTCGAGTCCTGGACCTGGTGGCTTGCTTTCTCACTTTCCGTCTCTCTCTCTGGTCATATTAAAATAAATGAACTAATAAATAAAATTAAACAAAAAAATAAGACTGTCGCCCTGACTCCTAGCCACAGACCCGAACCCCAGTCCCACCGCCTGAGCAGAGGCCCCCACACACCAGCACCTACCTGGCCGGTGCCCAACCCAGGCCCTGCCAGCCCCACATCTGTGCTCCTGGCGGCCAGCACCAGCCTGTGACAGGACCCAGGGCCGGTGTGAGCCAGCAGGCACCAGAGGCGGCCCCATGGCCCTCTCCACGCAGGCTCAGCCAGACTCGCCTTGCCACGTACCCCAGCACCCAGCCTGCTCCCTGCCCTGGACTCTTGCCCGGGACGCACGGGGACACCACCCAGCCCTCTGTGTGTCCTCTGGCTGCTTATGGTCACTCCGGGGCTCTGTGACTCCCCCGGGCCCCAGCTGGCCACACGGGTCAACCCCAGAAAGGTCTCCTCGTCTCACCAAGGGCCGTGGCCTTTGCCCCGAGCACGGTGGTGGCTGTCGCACTTCTGTCCCCTAGGGCCCTGCTGGCTGCAGCCCTCCGGCTCCCGCACCGCTTCCTCATAGCCCAGAGGAAGCTGTGCTGCAGGCCTCCCACGGGGCATGAGGCTGGGCCGGGCTCCTCCAGGAACGAGATGACACAGGTGGGGTGGGGTGCTATGAGCCCCAGGCGTCAGGGCTCTCCTTGGGAGGGTCCCGGGAAGGCCAGGCAGGGCTGGCAGGGTTAACAGGACAAAGCCTGGCCCTTCCAGGAACAACCCCGTGAGTAGCGTCATAGCGCCACACTGCGGGTCAAAGCGTCCATCGCCCGGGAGACACTGAGCACACTGCGTGGTCCCCAGCTCCTGCTGCCACCAAGGAGGACGCCACGGCCACAAGCCCCCTCCCTGGCTGCCTAGTGCCATCATGGGAATCCCCAAGGTTCCAGCCCAAGTGCCCTCCCTGGCAGCCTCCGCCTAGGCGTGTCCCAACACTGGGGTCCTCTCCTCATGCCCCTCCCAGCCAGCACCCGTCCGACCCACCCCACCCACCTCGCTGACTCCTTATCCCCTGACGCAGCCACGGGCGCTGGCCAGCCCTCTCACCACGCCCTGCCCTGGGCCTTCACCTCCTGCTCTCACCCCAGCAGGCCCAGCCCAGGGCAGCAGTGTGGCTGATGCCAGACGGTCCCGTTCCCGCTGTCGGCCCGTGACCCTGGTCAGGGTGGAGGGCCCCAGCCCACTTCACATCTCGGGAGGGTCAGCTGGCACCCAAGCCCACGCCCCTGCAAGGCACAGTGACCAGCCCACAGCAGGATCGGTGCAGGGGAGCTCCCAGCCCACAACCCTGACGCAGGGACACAGCCACAGAGAGGAGCCCATGCTACAGTCACCCGAGGCCGGCATGGCGTTCTGATGTGGCCTGTCGGTGCCAGCCCCGAGGCAGCCCTGCCCTCGCACAGACGGGCGGGTGGGGCCTGGGCTCTGGGGGCCTCTTAGACCCCAGATGGAGCAACTGGCTCTCTGAGCCGCTCCCCGCCCAGCTGCGCAGAGGCGGGCCTGCCTCACATGGCGCCCAAGTGCTCCTGGCGATTCCACGACACCTGCAGGGGCTCGGGGCCTGTCCTGCCCACGCACGCCTGGGCGCCCAGAGCTGGCCACTGTGAAGGTGGCAGCTGTGCTCCCAGGGAACAACGCGACTTGGCCGCCTCTGGCTCACAGGGAGTGGCAGGGAGGCCCAGAGGCCCTGAGTCCCCGAGCCCCCCCTGGCATGTCCCTCGTCACCCTGCCGCACTTGCATGACCGACAGTGCCAGGACACACGCAGACACCCAATTCCCAACGCGCCTGCACAGGCGGCTGCCACGTACCACCAGGTGCCACGGCCACGCACCAGACCCATGCCCAGTCTGCCAGCCCAGCACTGGCTGTCCTGTCTGCAAGAACACCCCCACCTCGGGCAGACCTCGGAGTCGCCGATGCCACCTCACACGGCTGCCTGGGCCTGAGCCCACCTGTAAGCGCCCCGACTGCTCCCGGGTTCTCGGGGATGCGGGGAGGCCTGCCCAACCCGAGCCCAGGATCGGTGCTGAGGACTGGCACAGAGGAGTGGGGTGGCCTGCGGGGTGGCCTGGCCCCTGGACGCACCGGCTGCCCACTGGCAGCTGAGGTACTGGTAGTAGGCCCAGACCCCGCTGTAGGGCCTGCAGTCGGACAAGAGAGAAGGGGTGGCCAAGGCTCTGCCCAGAGGGGAGCGCCTGCTTCCTGGCATGGGGCTCTTGAAACCTCGCCCCACAGAGGGCCTCCGCAAACCACGGCGGCCCACGGCCCGTACGCTCACCTGTGAACACGGCAGGGGGCTCAGCACTGCCCGGCTCACTCGCGAAGTAGCAGATGTGTCCTGACGTGTCACACGGGGTCGCCAGGCACTTGACGGTGAGAGCCCCCACCTTCAACAGAGAGGCAGCCGCGCCCCCAGCCGCTCCCCCCCCACCGGATACAGCGGGGCGCCACCCGCGCCCCCAGCCGCTCCCACACACCCGGACCCACGCCAGGCGGGCGCTGCGGAGGGTGGGCAGGAGCTCCCCAGGGAGGCCAACACGGGCCTCGAGCACCCTCTACTCCCAAGGCCCTAACTGGCTCTCCCTCGGCCACCAGGCACACTGCCACACAAGACGTCCCCTGCCAGTGTGTGGTCTCTGCCCACCCGCCCATTACTCCTGAAACGCCCAAGCCTACAAGGACCTGGATGGGAGCCAAGCTCCACACAGTCCCGACCGGCCGGGGAATCTGCTCCTCGCCCCCCGTGCCCGCTGCCCACGTGCTGCTCCTGTCTCTCATCATGCCCACGGCGGCCGGCCCTGGCAGGAGTGCTCTAGTGGCAGCCCATGCTCTGGGCTCTCTGCAGAGCCTCATCCTCCGGTCTCACGAGCAGGCGGTCTGGCTGGTGCTGAGGCAGGCCCCGGGCCCCACTGTGCCCCCACCCCACCTAAGCTGGGGGGCCACACCGGGCTAGCCACACTGCATGGCTTCCTGCTGCCTCACCTGCAGAGTGGACAGGTGTGTGACTCTGTGAGTCAGGGCCGCCACCCGGCTATCGCCTCCGCACACCTTCAGCCCCGGCTCCAGCTTGAGCAACTTCTCGTTCCCGCCGGCATGGTCCCTGGGGGTCGGACAGGAGGCATGGGGCTCCTGCTGACAGGGAGGAGCTCACCGGCTGCTTTTAAACCCCACCAGAAGGACCTCTCTCGCTCAGTACGGTTTTAGAAGTAAAGGACGCTTTGCCGTCAACAGGCCCCACCCAGTAAGTCCTTGAACACGCCGACTGGGAGGGCATCTCCCACGGCTGGCTTGCGAGCAGAGGGGCGGCCAAGACACCTGCACACCCCAAAGCTGAGGGTTCCTGTTGTGAGGTGTGTGGGGACCACCTGGTCTCTAAATGTGTGCACGACCCCCACCCACCCGCATGCAGCTGGCCAGGCAGCCCAGGGTGACAGTCAAGAGCCTCCAGGGACCCTGCGTGCTGCCCCTTCCTGGGAGCTGCTGAGCCCGGGGCTCGCCCGAGATGCCGCGGAACTATAAAGCCATCATCCACAGGTAACCTGACTGCGGGGAGGCCAGCCTGGCATCCACCCCAGCCGGGAGGTACCACTGGCTCTGGCGGCTCCAGCTCTGCGTTTCAGAAAGAGGCTGTCGGAGGGTCCCCCCGGCCTGGCCTGTGCTGGGCACACCCACACTGCAGACAGGCTGTGCGGCCTCGCTGGGCCAGAGGCCTCTGCTCCCTGCAGTCCCCACCAGTCAAGCCCTGCTCCACAGCCCCTTGCTCCACAGCCCCTCAGCCAGGCGTATACCTCGGAGATCACGCCAGGACCAGACAAGAAGCTGCCCACCAGGAGAGCCCAGGGACAGAGTGGGGCCCCATCCCTATCCAGGTCCCTGCCCTGTCACCCTTCCACTCCCGAGTGGTGGTGAGATTATTTAGTGTGGGACAGAGGCAAACTGGACTGCTCTGGCAGCCCAGAAGGCCACAGCAGAGTGCCTGGGGAGACGCACCCACCCCGGTGTGCCCCGAGGCTGGGTGCCGAGCGACTGTGGGTGCCCACCCCCGTGTCCAGATGGAGCACTCACTTAGGCAGACCCTGACTCCCGCCAAGAAGACCAAACAGGAGAGGGGCAAGGGCAGGTGGCACCGAGGCCTGGCTGCAGTGCCACGGCTGGGCACGGGGCCAAAGGGACAGGCGCCAGCACCGCCTCAGGGGTGCTTCCTCGGTTTGGATGGGCTTCGAAGTGTCAAACTGCCAAAAGGCCTTTCCTGGCGTTGGCTCCCTCAGCCTGCCGTCCTCGTGCTGCTCCCGAGGTCGAGGCCAGCCCGTCCCCACACAGGCCCACAGGATGAGGACAGCTGCCGTGCTCCCTGAAGCCCAGGGGGGCTCCCCGAGGACAGCAGTACACACCGGGTCACGGTGCGAGTCCCTGAGCTCAGCCACCGCATGACCAGGCCTGCCACTGAAGGTCAGGACTCAGACCCGAGGTGGAAGGGCCAGACCCTGGGGCGTTCTTCCTGCACAGAAATCTGCGCTTTGATGGTGCGAGCCCTGGGGTGGGGGGGACCCGGGCTCCCACCTGCCGAGCTCCCACCCTCCCCAGGCAGGCAGGCAGGCAGGCAGGCAGGCAGGCAGGGCCAGCTCCAGGCAGGGCCAGGAGCGCTTACCAGTGGTGGTGTGTGGTGAGCACCGTGGTCAGCTTCACCCCATGCTTTCTCGCCGCCTCCACAACCTGCAGCCACACGGAGGCGGAACAGGGCTAGTCACGTTCCCAGCCAGACCCACCCACCACGGGATGGGGGGAGCCCGTGGACCCCAGGATGTGCTTGGCCCCATCTGACCGCTGACCCCAGGCTCTGGGGTTGCTCTCAGTACCGCTGTGACTTCTCTCAGCCAGGGAAGGCAGGTGCACACCTGGCCGGGGCCTCGAGACAGGCTCCCGCTGGGGCTCAGGCCCCACCCTCACAGGCCCGGCTTGCCCAGGGCGGCTGGGCACCAGCTTGCTTTTCAAAGGCAAAAGGACCGGTTCCCACGTAGCTTCAGCACAGCTGCAGGGCCCCATGGTTCTAAGGCCCGCCAGGGGATGCAGAGCCAGCGTGCCGGGGCAGGGAGCCAGCAGGGGTGCACCTTCTGGGGCTGCACGGGGTCCACAGCGGCGGCCTCCCCGGTGTTGTCGTCTATGAGCAGGTACATGTAGTTGTCGGTCAGCGCGGGCAGCAGCTCCACCTTCATGGTGCCCTGCTCCACAGCCAAGCTCTTCCTCGAATCCGTGTGATGGAGGAGGGTCCCCAGCAGGGCAGGGCCTGAGGACACGGCAGCTCGGGTCAGGTCCACGCAGGGCCCCCATCCCAACAGGACTGTCCTGGTTAACGGAGGACTCAGGAGTGTGACGGGGAAATGAGACGCTTCCGAGGGCTGACATTGCTGTCCTCGTTCGGGGCGCTAGGACAGGGCTGCCAGCCTGCGGCGGCACGACAGCTGGCAGTGCTGGGGCCACGCCCAGCTCAGAGCAAGAAGGGGCCAGAGCGGCCACCACGGCCCAGCCCTTCGCCCTCAGCATGCTGTGGTGCCGCGCCAAGCCGGCGACGCATGGAGTGATTCGGAGCCCTCTCCGGGCACTGGCCAAGGGAAACACCAGCTCGGAACAGCGGAATCGGGACGCGGCGAGTGCTGAGGCTGGCTTCTGAGCCACGGGGCAGGCCGCGCCTGCTGTGGACTCGAGCTCAGTGGACAGAGACACGCCACTGGGCCCTGCCAGGGCAGCAAGGAGCTGGGAGAAGCGACACCCGGAGGCAGGTCAAGGCATGGCCAGCAAAGAACCCCCTTCATCTACAGCTGGACTTTCGCCTTCGTTCCAAAGGGGCGGAGGCCACAAAAGCTGGCAGGAGACAGTGAGACGCTACGGTAGGTGCCAGAATGGGGCACCTCCCGGAACACACAGACCACCGGACAGGCAGGGTCTCCGCAGCTGCCAACGTGGAATGTGGCCCCACCTGCCGCGGCCAGGAAAGCGGGCAAGCAGCAGGCCCAACGTAACGCGGCAGTGACCCCACCAGCCCACCCCGAGCGCGGTGGTGAAGTCCCCAGGTCGGTCTACCTCCCTAGATCCAGGAGGCCCGCAGCCCAGACACGGGGCTTGGCGGGGTGGGGTGGAGAGCAGAGGGCTAAAACAGCGTTCCACAGGGGCGGGGATTCGTTTCTGCACCTCCACGACACCACGGACAGACAGGACAGGGCACGGCTCGGGTGAAGGGCTGGTCACACCTGGTGTCCGGCTGCCCTAGCCATCAGAGCCTCAGGGGACTGGCAACCTGGGGAGATGCACCAACCGTATTTTTTTTTTTTGAGGTTTTTCACTATAGGGCGCGTGCGCTCACCAGAAAGACAGAGGCAGAAAGTGAGAAATCACCCCCCCGCCCCAGGGCATGGCCACACCGCAATCCCTTCTCCTCCATTCTCCTCTCAGGATCTTGGGCACACATGTACACGCGCCCGGCGTGAGTTTAAGCCACCGGGTCCAGGATTCGAACTGCAGTCGACTACATGGGAGTCTAGCGACATAGCCATTACGCCAACTGCTGGTCCCTGCTTTTCCTTCTTTCAGCAGTCATGAGTGCAGAGCCCACAGATGGCGTAGCAGTTATGTCGCTGGACTCCCATGTGGCCAACTGCAGTTTGGATCCTGGACCTGTGGCTTGAAAATCACACCAGGCACATGTGCATGCGTGCCCAAGAACCCAGGAGAATGGAAGAGGAAGGACTGACACGTGGCCATTCGCCCTGGGGGTGATCTCTCACTTTCCCTCTCACCGTCTCTGTCTCTCTCTGGCAAGCACACACACCGTAAGGCAAAAAAGCTCTTAAAAAAAAAAAAAGATTAACTCATGATAGAGCATGAGAGGCATGAAGCACGCCCCACAGGGTCTGGCCACACCATGAGCCCTCCTCCAGTCCTCCTGCTCACCCCCTCCCGGGCACTCACAGGCCCAGCTGGGTGGCTGACTGGGTCAGGTGTCGAACCATGGTCGCCACGTGAGACCCAGCACATACCGCGGGGCCGTGGAAGCGGCCAATGCACGTGTGTGCTGCTTTAGTACCATTCCCGTCGGCGTTCTCCCACACAGGGCTGTCCCTTTGGATCCTTGCGTTTATTTTATTTTTAGATTTTTACCATAGGGCACGGGCACTCGACAGAGACAGACAGAGACAGGCAAGGTGAGAAATCACTCCCCGGCATGCTTTTCAAGACCCTGGGTCCGGACCACGTAGTCAGCATGTGGGACCCACCATCCCAACCGCTATGCCACCAGCCGCCCGGCACTTATTTCTAAGGAAGGGTCCATCTGGTGCGACACCACCAGACACACTGCACAGGTCACCTGGCCTGTGGGCAGCCAGAGGTGCAGTGGTCAAGGTCGAGGTGACCGGGTCCCACGTGGCTGACTGCACAGTCCGAGTCCCAGGCCTGCGGCTTGAAAGGCACCCCAGGAGCCTGTGCCTACGTGCTCAGAGTCCTGAGAGAAGGATGGAGGGAGGACGGCGGCATGGCCACGGCTCCTGGAGGGTGATTTCTCACTTCCTCTCTCTCCTCCCTCCTGTGAGCATGAGCACAGTCACCCTATGGCAAAACTAAAACAAAATAATAATTCATTAAAAATAAAGGCACCTGGCCCACACTGCCTGGAAAATGCCCCGCCCAACTGAGATATTTTGCATAAGCAGAGGTCACAGACCTGCAGTCCAAAGTCTGAACCAAGTCCAAGTCCAGAGATTTGTTTAAAACTCAAAACTCAAGACGCCTCACAGCCCTGGCTTCTCTTGAACTGGGGGCACCCAATGCTGGGGTTCCCTTTAAACAGGCTTCTGCAGCTCGCCAACTCCCCACAGCCCCCTTGCGACTCAGCCTGGCCCCGATGCAAAAACTGTCAGCGCGGACAGGCTGACCTGGGTCGGGAACCTGACTGCTTTCAGCTCGGTGTGAGCTTGGCCAGCGGCGGCGCTGCTCGCGCCTTCCCACCCAGTCTCGGCGCTCATGTAGGTCACTGCTAACCCGCTCACAGGGCGCCGGGTTAACCTACAGCCCCTACTGCTTCGCCAGCTAGATACGTCAGATCCGAAGGAACGGGGGCTTGCGAAATCAGGGCCGAAACGCCACCGCGAGGCGGTCGGGACTGCAGGCTGGGCAGCCGGGGCCCAGAGCCCACCGGGGGCGCGTCCGCCTGGTCTGCCCGCCGGGGCCGGCACCTGCAGCGTGGACGGTG